CGACAGGAAGAAGGATGAGGATTTGGATACCTGGGTAAGGACGGTGCCTACTTATGTGAGGCACAAGCTTACCAGGTCGGAGCAAGAAGTTGTAGCGGCTGCCTTTTTTCTAGAGGGGTCAGCAGTCCGCTGGTTGAATGGCCTAGTGTAGCAGCAAGGCTACGGCTAGAACTTCGATGCTTGGGCCCAGGCCCAAACATTGGAAGAGTTCGTACGGTTCGTGTATAATAGGTGGCATGACCCGCAAGGGGCCCAAAGGGCTATAAATGCGATCAACAGTCTTTGTGCCAGAAGGTACTAGAATGTTAGAGAACTCACGAATACCGTAGAACGTCTGCTCGTGGTACCCGGTGTGCGCTATGACCAGCAGGTACTCCTTACGGATTACCTTACATGTCTACCTTCAGAGGCTAGGACAAAGCTGGTAGATGAGGCCTATGTTGAACAACACAACTTCGCCTCCTTCATCAAGAAGGCCCTGTTAGACTGCAGAAGTATAAGGCTAGCAGTCTAGTGGAAAACTACGGCTGCATGTGTGCTTCCTCTTTTTATAACTACTACAAGCAGAATCTCGAGGAGGGCATGTATCTAGTTTTTGTCTCTGACAAAGGGGAGGCCGTGAAAACACCCGTAGAGATAGAATCAGTCGTCGCTCAATATTCAAACCTTTTTGAGGAGCCCACAGGCGTGGTAGAAAGGGAGGTGGTCCATGCGATAGAGGTTGTCCTAGGTAGCAAGGTGCCTAGAGGACGAATCTATAAGATCTCTCCAGAGTTGGATAAGCTCCGCCGCCAACTCAAGGAACTCACAAAAAAGGGATGGATTCGGTCCAGTACCTCCCCTTACGGTGCGCCTGTCTTATTTGTCCCAAAGAAGGGAGGTACCGTGAGGATGTGCATTGACCATAGGGGCCTCAATGCCATCACTGTTAAGAACGAGGAACCCCTACCCCGCATCGACGAACTCCTGGATAGAGTGCAGGGAAGCCGGTACTTCACCAAGATAGACCTGAAGTTCGGACACCATCAAATTGCCATCAGACCTGAGGACCAATACAAAACCGCATTTCAGATCAGGTACGGTCTGTACGAGTTTGTGGTGATGCCCTTTGGCCTATGCAATGCACCTGGTACATTCCAGCACGCGATGAACATGATATTTCATGATTACTTAGACAAGTTTATCGTCGTGTACCTTGATAGTATTCTTATCTTTAGTAGGAATGTAGAGGAGCACGCTGAGCATTTGAAAATATTGCTAGATTTCCGTAGACAGCACCAGTACAAGGTTAACTTGGGTCATGAAATCTCAGCGGATGGATTGAGGCCAGATGATGCTAAGGTGGCCAGCATACGTGACTGTTACTAAGGTCAGATCGTTTTTGGGGATGACGGGCTACTATCGTCCGTTTGTAAAGAACTATAGTACCATAGCTTCCCCATTAACATATCTAACTCGACTGGATACCTCTTGGGGATGTTTAGGTTTTATCGACATTTTAACTACGTGTACCTGTACTGCATCGAAAACGAGTAAACACCATTGATAGATCTACCTCTGCGATTGCAAGTTAAAACTTTCGTATGTGGATCGGTAGTAGGGATACATCCCTAAGGGTGGTGACAACCTCTTAGGGAAGGAAAAAGTTATGCCTCCCAAGAATTTGTCCCGTCCTAGGGGACCACAGGAGGTATGCCTAGCGCACTTGGCAAAACTGGTGAAAAGTTGAAAACTGTGTTTTGACGACGCGGGGTTTTACATTGTCTCTAGGTCGTTTTTCTACTAAACTCTAAAGTGATGCGTTTGGGAGGACTTTTTGTCCGAAGGCGAGAGCCGATGCGCTTGGCACTGAGACATGTGCACCATCGAACGTTGTTCGATGTGGACATAAGGGGTTTGTTGTTGTTCTATATTAGTAAGTTATTAATTAAGATTTCCTCACATGGTGCGGGTGTTGATGACATTCCGCATTTTTTCAAGTTCCCCTTTGAGGGCGACCCAGGCCCCCTTGTGAAATGTGGGGCCCTTCTTGAGGATTCGAGTCCACTCGGGTGGAATTGAGAAAGCCAAAGTGTTCATAACAGTCACTAGGTTATGGCAGTACTTCAATTTTTTTCTCAGGTTTTGGAGGGTGATGCAATCCTCCTCCTGCTACGCCCAGATGTCGCCCACCCTCACAACCCTTCGCTTTACTCAACCCTTCTATGAGTGGTGTGTGCTAATGAACACTCTGTTGTAGGAGTTCGTGATCCACCTCTTTCCAAAGAGGGGCTGTCGGAAAAGTTCCTCGCACCTTGAAAGCGGTACCTTGTCCGAGAGGGGGAGTTTTCACCATGTCTTAAAGAGGGTGGGCCAAAATGTGTCGTTCGGGATATCCTTCCTGGCAACCTGCCTATTGTTGTTGCTGGACGTAGCGACTTGCGAAACATGGGGTGATGTGAGGGGAGGTGGGAGGGGCCAGCCTGGCCAATTGCTTGAGCGTCAACATTCTCAGGGTGGAGTGAAGAGCAGACTCTTGATCGATTATATAGATAACACCATTGGCTGGGAGGACGGTGTCACACTTTTTTCGATCGGGCCACGTCGGGCGACCAGAAAGCCAAGTGGCTGACACATAAGATTTTGTTGATGTCGTTTGCAATAAATAAATAAATTGAATAAAGTAAATCCCTTCCTGTTGTGTGCGTCCGGCTTCAAGCAAGACCCTTCAATTGTGGTCTAATCTTTTATTTTCATTCAGAACATCAAAGATTATGCAAATAATAATCATGAAATTCTGGTGTGCATACATATATCAATTCTGCCAGTTTTCTAATTTTCAAAACTGTGACAAGATCATCACAAAGCATAATCACCAAGCGAAGTCAATGGAAAAGGAGCAACACTGATTGACCCAAGACATGGGCAGATGAATGAGGGAAAAGTGAGAACTCATAACAATCTCAGAAAGTACAGATGAATAGACATGGCCAACACACCTCAAGAGTCCTCACTCATCCCTCTAGAGCCTCATTATCAATCTCTCGTTTGGTTGTGCGTCTCTTGTGCCTCGAGCCATGCCTATGTACCTCGTGAGATTGTGGCCTCGAGATGTAGAGCCACCTAAACCCTGCAAGTTCCGAACACTTTCATGCAAGGCTCATGATATGGAAATCAAACATGGCACATAAGTCCTCCCACAAGGTAGGAAGATATGGCTTGGAGAAAACCCCTCGTCTGTGGTGTCTGAACTTTGAGGGTTCGGTCACGACCTCATAGTCAATTTCCGTTGGAGAGATGTACCTCTTAGCTAGGTCAACCAAGTCACCCCAGCAGGAGCCGTCCTTGAAAGGGAAGGGAATCGAAGGCTTGGGATGATACGTGTAGAGCTTGGGTCCAAAGCTACTGATCAGCTTTGTCCCACTCTTGTCAAACTCTCGCTCTCTCCTCAAGGTTCTTTGTTGTTGAGACCCAGTCTGAGTCGAAGAGCTCATGAGTTTCCTTTCCCCTCTTCACATAGACTATCAAGTCATGAATGGTACCTGCTGCAAAACTCGTGAGAACAACGAACATGGACAAGTTTTCTTGTCTGAAGCCTACTGCACTAACACATTGATATCGAAAGGCATCCTTGAGATCGACCTTGTTAAGACTGACATGGACTGATTCACTGATTGGGAACGACTTGCATATACTCGTGTGCAAAAGTGGATATCCAAATTGTCTTTAGTGTCTCTTGATGATTACAGTTTGACTGTTACGGTCTGCAAGAGTCAAAGGGGACATCCGCATGGCGATTGGCTTCAACTGACGTTTTACTGATAACTTTTTTGATCATGGGATGCTATTGAACTGACAATTTACAGAATGTTGATCAGTTGATGACGAAATGCTGCACCAGTTGCAGATGATTGAAATGGCATTTGTTGGCTGGGATGCAGGTAGGATTTTCAAGAGGAAAGTATGGCACCTGTGAGCTCACCTGAGCCTCGCCCTGGCGAGCTCCACCGTCTCGAGTGACGAGCTTGTGCTGTTCAACTTGCTGCCGTGGTCATAAAAGTAAAATACATATTCGATATACTTTTCTTCCCCAACGATCCGGACCGCATGTTCTCGCTGTGTTTGCTTATGATGATCCATATCCTGACAGACCTCTTCCTCCCATCCCTCCCTCATCTGTTACATTTGTACTTCATCACTAGGACCTCTTGGTCCTTCATGCTCTCTTTCTTCTCCTAGTCACCACTTTACTAAGAGCAGGGAAGGTAGGGAGCTGATACCAACTTCAGTAAGACCGAGTATCACTCGACAACCAGATCCCGGGTCCTGATTCCACTGACGGAGTGTTCACCGACGGTAAAGTGTGGCCTTAATTTGTTCAGCTGCCACGGATCTGTCTGACGACTAAAGACTGACTGAGTGACGAAGAGCATTGGTAGATGGTCACGATTGTTGTCTTAGATGTTTGATAGCTAACGAGTGTTGTAATGACTATGGGCCTCAGTCAGCCGACAATGGGGTTAAGATCCGTCTTGCTGACTTACACTCGCTTAGAAGTCGGTTGTAGCCCGCTCAGTCATTACAAGTTTCTCCAACGAAGAGTACAGGCTTTACCTTCAGTTACCCGTAGTAGGTGCCCCACTGAGACTGTCTAGTCAAGGGGGGGGGGGGGGGGGGGGGGGGGGGGGTGTAGTAATTAGTTTGCTGATGTAGCTTTCCCCATTAGCCGTACAGTCCTTTCCTGATTTTAGAGTGACGGGTAGGATGCTGAACTCGCGAGTTACTGAGCTTGACCTTACCTGGGTTCAGAGCTGCTTGCTAGCACGTCACCGGAGACGGCCGCAAGTAATTTATGATTACTTTGCTTACAAATTTTCCCTTGGTTCTTCTTCCACTGAGGGCTCAATAGTTTCATAGATCAGAGCCCAAGTGCCTGATTCGTCATATATCGTTTTTTGCAAGCATCTCCTCACTAGTACGAGCCGGTGGAGGCCAATTGCAAATACTCACACTGCTTGTCACCAGGGTCACGCTGTAACGTATCCCATTTGTGCACTGCACGAAGTACCCTTGTACAATCACATAAACTCGAAATAACACTCCTGTTAAGCCAATCGTAAGCGGTATACACAACGTCCCCTTATGAGAAGCGTACAGGTACAACTTATGAGAAGCCAATCGTAAGCGGTATACACAACGTCTCAAAGGTACTGTTTTGTATGATTTGTGAGTCCTCCTTACGTCTCATAGGCTGCTAAAAGGGAATTTTCATCTTATGTATATAGCGCTCAGAGCTTTGACAAGACGCATAGTTGCTCCAATACAGTGCAGAATGCCGTTTGCTCACGACTCTTGCACCGTCCCTCGTTGCCCCTACTCGGGTAGAATACTATGTGTCATAGGCCTTTGCTTCTGTTCACAAGTGGTTCGAAGCTTCGTGAGAGTTCACTCTACTTGCACAACCATGTTAAACACAATCAACAAGTGCTTCCACTTGCATAATATAAAACTAAAACGACTTTGTCCCATCGTGTACTTGGGAAACCCTCTGTCGCAGCCCTCTCTTGTATACAACGCAGGGCACTACTAGTTATAGTCGCGACCTGTATACAAGGTAGAATGCTCGTCAAGAGCGAGAGTCTAGAAAACATCTCTCGTAAAAGATTCCTCTTCACTTAGTATCAGAGGTCATCCAACACATTCAAAATTCACGTATCTCTCGACCCTTCCAGGGCGATTGCCCTCCATCTATTATACGAGGCAAGACATTTTTGAGTATTTAATGAGACATCACGGTAAATTACCAAACTCTTTGGAGACTTGTTGTGATCAATCACTCGTTTTTTTATTTGATCTCTTAGACAGATTACTCTCCACTCAGCATAATCATTAATCCCCTTCAAGTAAGTACTTCGCCAAAAAGGTAAAGGATTGCCCTCAGAATAGCACTCCTTTTCCCCATCAAATCAAGCAAAAATCTTAAAGGGTAAGGATTGAGTTACCCGTAGATCTAATCCCCTAGACACTTCGAAAGACTCCCTCCATTTTGATGGGAAAATAACTAATCAAGCCAACGAACTTAAAAACCACTCGAGACTCGAACAAAGTCTTTTTAGTTCCCTTCGCTATTGATTAATTGCTCATCAAGAAGGGCCAATATGCGATAGAAGGACGATATAGCAGGAGATAACAAGCTTAAAAAAAAAAAAAAAGGGGTGCTTAAAGCCTTATTTGTAAATCGAATTCCAACCGAAGACCTTTCGCCTTTTCGGAGAGTTCGCTCTTTGCCTCTTTTTTCACTTTTAAGCCCACCACCCCAGAAGACACTCGGCTTCCACCGACTCCTGTACAAAAGTCCTTTGAAGACGACACCCTAGTCAATGTGGCTTCTCAGTGGTAGCGAAGTCCAACCCGATATTGAGTCGGAGAATACAAAGATTGGTTTGGGCTTAATAGCCCCATGATTCTATCCGTTGTGGTGTCTTTCCAGCACAAACTGCTAACTCGTGATGGCGACGGCTTACAACAAACCGCAACCTAACTATCGTTTGTTAGGCGCATAATGAGCCGTTCTGGTCTGTGACAGTGTCGATTAGGCTGAACTTTTTCAGCCCGCGTAAATTGCCATCGTAGACCTCTCATCTGACTGTCAGTGCTAGAGCAACAGAGTTGATATTGATGGTGAACTTGAGCGTAAAGAACCTCGAGAGGAGCCCCAGGAAAACCCTCACCCCTGTAGCACCTCTGCTTCTCTAATTGGCATAGTACGGTGACCACCTGTCTCTCACTCTTGCTAGATACAGTGCCCTTCAGGGAAGGCTAAAAAAGGGGGGGGCGTGCGGCGTAGCCGCTCGTTGAGCAATCACTGTTCAATCATTGGAGTGAACGCTACTCTGTTATGAGTAGACATGGGCTTTCCTCCGTACACATCCAATCTCCCGCCTGATTTTGAAGAGGTCAACCCTCAAGCATCAATGCCCGTAGCTGTCTAACGAGAACTCGTGAATCATCGTATCATCCGACTAGAATCGGGGAACCAAGAGAGTGGTGGATTATTAATTGTAATAATGATAGTAACAACAAGCTTGTTTCCCCTTTATGTCAAGGACGAAACATACGACAACAGCTAGACTGTTTGCACGAAGAAGTGGATCCAACCAGTCAATTATGAGTTCTCATGCGCCCAACGAGCGGTTTGCAATATCTTGTTTCCCCTCTCCGATTGAGCTGCTAGTACAAACCTCTTGCACCATATTCGGTCTCGTCATCGTGGCAATGATGGTTAACATGGACTGCGTGACAAGTGAAAACCTTAAAGTAGCCGTGAGATGCTTTAAACCATCTCATCTTCGCTTATCTTGATCAAAAGAAGAGGCTCGCTAGCGAAAGACAGAGATCACTTTGCAAGCAGCAACTGATGTCAACAAGGCAGGGGCACACTAGTTATCACTCGTTCCTCCTGAGTGGCTAGAAATAGTTTCCTCTGTTGGTTCACTCAGATAACTCTGTCCACGTAACGTCCTTCGTTTGTTAGACCACCCACGGAGCTCCTCTCAGTTTATCATCACATAAGATAAGACGACCGTTGGCGCAAGACGCATATCCCACTACGGAGTCGGAGACTTCGTTCTCAAAGAAGCACGAGCAAAGACTCTTGAGAGGATGACGTCAACCGTTGGAGCAACGCCAGTCATCTCTCTATATGTTTTTTCTAACTTTGCGCACCGCACGACTATCGTCTCTCCGCCCCTTTCTCCCTCTTTCTCTGATTGTGACCGACCTCGCTAGTGACCGCCTAGCGTTCTTGGTTCCGTCCTGAGTTGGCCTCTGGGCCGCTCTCCACGGGCTCAACCGGTGGGTGGACCTTTCGCCACTGGTCCAACCCATGTTAGGACGGGGTCTCTGCCCCGTTGAGGTCAGTCTCTCCCTCTGAGTCCTGATCCAGATATTGTTGCTCGTGTTCTGCCGTATCAGTGGAGGTTTTTCCACCTCATGATACGTGATTGTTACCCGCACCTCAGTTGTGACCGCATCCGTTCTGCGTCTCCGCTTAGCCCGGTTCTTGGCTTTCGTGGCCACCGCCTGCAACTCCGGGTCCCCTCCAATTTATTCCTCTCTCGCCCCTTCCATGTTAATCTTCAACTTGGTCTCATCTCCCCCGTCGTAATTGAGAATAGTGGTAATCCAGGGGCCCTCCCCGAACATCGGGGACCGGTGTGTTATGAGGTTCCAGCAATCTGGCCTATAGCCGTGCAACTCGTTCCTGCAAGCCGTAGCAGGACACTTTCAAAATAGCCAAAGTTTGGTGTTAGGTGCTCACGAACACGGACAGCCTACCACCTGCTCACTTCACGACCCTACACTTCGTCCCCAGATTATCCACGTTAGCACATCGAGGTTACGTGCGTGCGCCTTTGCCCTGTTCAGGATCTTGTCTATTTTCTAAGGGGCGGGACTCCTACACTTGGAGAAACATCTAAAGCCTAAGATGGTTACTTTTGCTTGAAAGAGAAGGGCCTTTGGACTACTGACAACTTTCTAAGACCAACTTTACCCCTTAGCATGTTCCCAAACAAACTTCCTGACTCCATCACCAACCAAATTTCGTCTCTTACTATAGGTCTTTTTACTAAATTATCATGAATATAGGGGTTCGTTATCTCAGGAGAAATATCCTACATGACTTGGATCATATCCCTTTGAACCACTGCCACACCATTAGTCCATCCTTGAGGTACCACGCACATTTGAATAAGCCCCCTTGGCGTGTGCATAATATTCATTGGTCGAATAGTGGGATCAATGGCAAACTGATCGTAGCAAGAATATAAATCAATTAAAGAATAAATGCATCGACAAACAAAGGATTCAGAAAGGATATCAACATTAGGGAGAGTACTTGCATCATGTACCGTAAATGAGTTGAGCTTCCAAAGATTTTGTATCCATCTTAATTCACCTCCTGTTTTTTTCAAAAGCAAAACAAGTGATTATCATACGATCTATCAGCAGGCTTAACAACATTGAAAGCAATCTTTTGGTCGAGGTATTTTACCACCTCTGCCTCTTTTTTTTGGG